TTTTTTGCTAGGGTCTTCGTTTTGGACAAAACCCCCCCAAATATCCAAAACGAAGACCCCCCCTAAAATCGCCTTTAAACCATTTCTAACTTTCAGAACAAACAAAGTATGTGTAATAAACGTCAACTACAACAAGAATAGCCAATTTGAGGGCTTTTTTCCTAGGGTCTTCGTTTTGGACAACTGTAATTTCAATGAATTCAACAAGAGAAATGCAATAAAGACCGGAAAAGCATTGTTCGATAAGTTTGTATACACAAGCACGCGGCATTTTGAGATTTTTCGACTGCCTGACGTTTATTCCCAGTACTAAACGTCATCAGGCAGTCGATGTTTGTTCTATTTCATTTTATGCGTATTCAATGTGGGATGACAAGAGTGCTTTGTAAAGTGATTCGCACATGATCAGTTTGCCCCATTTATCTCTGAACATATTTGTACGGCAATTTCTCCAAGAATTTTAACGGATTTGAGTTTCAAATTAGTGTTGGAGTTTTTTAAGCCGTTTAAAACACTCAAGATCGTGTTTTAAACTATACATAAAACGAAGACCTAAGACCTAAGACCCAAAAACGAAGACCCCAAGAAAATCAATTCAAAATCGTTCCAAAAGTGCGTTATGTCACGCAGAACATAGCTAAAAACAAAACACGAACGTTTCAAGGATTTTTAATGGGGTCTTCGTTTTGGATAAAACCCCCCCAAATGTCCAAAATGAAGATCCCCCATAAAATCGCCTTTAAATCATTTCTAACTTTCAGAACAAACAAAGCATGTGCAAATTTTCATTTATTATTATATTATTATTATTATTATATTATTCATTCGATTTTAATTGGGGATTTTTTCATCTCTTTTCCGTTTCATCGACATAAAAACTTATTTATAAAAATTTCCAATGAATATTTATTCATCATTGAAATTTTTTTAGTAAAATTCGACCCTCGACATAGTACCCTCGACCCTCGACCAAAAGATGGACCCGTTTCAAAAAATTCAAAACGCCGGTCGCACTACAAAAATCAGTCGATGATGGATTACAGTGTCAAACGTAGCGCTTAACTCATCAAAAATTTTCTAATGCGACAAGTATAGTTAGTCCGTTAAGTAAAGTTTTAAAACGTGATTGCACAGCGTGACGCTGCAAGTTTTCAAGACTCAAATCCCAACAAAATCAATCTAACAACAAAACACGAATGTTTCAAGGATTTTTACTGGGATCTTCGTTTTTGGAAATCCGTTTTATATTCCGTAAAATATACTTTAAATTCTCATTTGTAAAAATATGTCAAAAACAAAATTCAGTCGGTCGGGAACCCTGTGATTTTTTTATTGACATTTTTCCGACCAATCAACACGCGAGTTTATTCTGTGCTGTAGATTCTACCCACAATTCCATTTAGTTCGGTTTGCTTCCGCGTTCTCCGTTCGCCATATTTACAGGATGGTCATTACTTGTTGTTATCAGTTAATGACTTAGATAAGTCTATTCTTTTACAATAGATTGTGGATCAAGATCGAAAAGAAATGCATTTGTTTACAGCAATACTTGTTCCGGCGATGTTTATGGCAAACATCCATTCATCAAGTGAGTTAACACTAATAAGCTTAACTTAAACATATAACTTATGAGTGCATGTGCGAGAAGCATTTCGAAAATCGTGAAGATTACTTACTAAGTGTAATGTATCTTCCTTTTGTTTAGATTGTCTAACCTTTGTAAGGAGACCTCCAAGTCGACTGGTGTTTGTGTTGGGTAAAAACACTACAAACGTCTCCATGAAATGGTTGCTAAATTTGACACATGAGGAAGTTTTCTCCAGCATAAAGTTAGTCAGGCTGGAATCTCTCGACACATCTAAAGAAGCAGTACTGTATCTTTATAATGTTTTAAAACCCAATCAGATCACTATCAATACCAATCTATACAGCGCCAGTAGAGACATCAAAAGTGGACCATCTTCGTTCAACTTTACTATCAAGGACATGGCAAACCAAATCAACAATGATGGTGGAAGCCTTTATAACCCACTGTCCAAAGATTACCTGTACAGACTGATTATCAAAGTGGTTACTACAGACGATGTATTAYATACAAGTGATTCCAAATTGTTTTTTTTCGGTAAGTAAAGAAAAAACTGCAAATTATTATCATTAATCATTGGTTTGGGGTTTCTGTGATATCTGAAATTATCATGGTCGAGACAAGTGTAATCAGCATGACATAAAAAAAGTAAACGTGATTTCCTTGTACCTTCATGTCGTTTTTAAAGATTGCGAAGCAATCGAAGAGTTATAGGAGGGAGATAGATGATGTGTGAGGGACTAGTTAATAAGGCTGCATTCATTATACTACAGGGAGGGCAGAGGAAATTTTTTTGGGATCTGAAAATTTAGGGACTGGAAAAGGGGGGACTAGTTAATAAGGCTGCATTCATTATACTACAGGGAGGGCAGAGGAAATTTTTTTGGGATCTGAAAATTTAGGGACTGGAAAAGGGGGGACTAGTTAATAAGGCTGCATTCATTATACTACAGCTTGATTCTTGTTTATAATGTAATATCTTTTTTATAGAAAACATGAGCTCAGTTTACTCTTTGATATTAAGTGTGGATTATTGAGAGGATGACTATTTTCAAAGTTTTTCCAAAATAGTTTTCTTTGGGTGTAAACGTTTGAGCTCAGTAAGTTTAGATACTTACCAATATCTGAGTGATGTTTCAAATTTTGGAGCATACAAAGAGTGGATTGGCAAATATGAGTGTATGTTGGTAAGGTTTATAGCATAGGAAAGTGTATTATTTTCTCCCTGGGTTTGTTACTGGAATAAGGTATGGGGATCACTCTGGCCTGGGAGAAGCCTCGCCAGAGCGGACGACCAAAGTCGTCAGGGTTAGAGCCGTCTTCATCGTGAGGGTAGAGGGGGTGGGTACGCTACACGTCTCTGAAAACGAGTGGAGCAAGTGTCGGGGAATGAATAACATCCCTTTATATATCCTATTATCAATCCCCTGGGACCAAGTTATCATATTCAAATGACTATGAAGAGTGTACTATTTTCTCCCTGGGTATTGTTACTGGAATAAGGTATGGGGATCACTCTGGGCTTCCCTAAGTACCTACTTCCCTCACGGTCACCGATGTAAGTACTATCAAATGACCCACACATATCCTAGCTTGCTATTCCTTTAACACATTATGTCGCAATCTCTTTCCAAACCTTACACTCCTAAGTCTCCTAACCCTATACCATAATTAATGATAATTTTTAGCATTCAGAATTTTCGTACCCATGTTGGATGAAAGTAAGAAATAAAGTTGAAAATATCACTGTGCCTGTGGTTTGCTCATCCAACACGGTGACTACAGCTTTTTTTTCTTGAATCTCAATGAATTTTAGACTAGTGGTTATTGCATAATTAGTCGGACTAGCCGAAGGCGAGGTCCGACTTTAAAATTACCTTTTAGTCTATYTGCGGTCATGTCGCGTTTGGACCACCGGAAGTTAAGAATTTAATAATTAACTATTGGGTTGGCTGTGTTATTACATGACCGGAAGCTCAAACATATTGATGTACGAATATCATTACTAAATATCATATGCTACTTGCGCTTTTATATGACAAAAAAAATATTCATTTACAAATGTGGTATCTGTGATCTCATCGGAATGCATCAGTCTAGGTATCATAAGTACGCGCATGTGCAGATCGCTTGGTGCTTCGAGTAGTATGCTTACGAAACTAAATCAGTGGCCTTTCTAGCGTTAGGCAGTCCTGTGTGGGCAAAGATTTCAAATTAGAACAAGAAGAAACATTTTTTATCAATAACAAAAAGGCGAGTTTATGATTTTATGGTGTCATTTACTTTTGGGCCTGAGAGGTCAACGTTCACTTAGCATCACATAATCTACATACCAACGTTTGATTTTATCAGTGAAAGCAAGGACTACTTTAAATGTTCATTGCTGGTATTAATTACATGACCTTTTAGGTCAAGTTTATTTTAGTCTCAAGAGAGTTTGGATATTTTGAACTAGACGCTCTTATTAGACCGTGAGTTCGGCTATTTTGGAGAAAAATTAAGAAATATATATTTTAATCTAATTTTTATCTTTTATGTAATATCCTGCTGTCTTTCTCAAGTTTCATTTACATCCTTAATATCATATGATTAGACAAAATATAACATCATAATCTTTTCACTCGTGTCTATAAATTTTCAAAAATAGCTAGTCCGACTTCACGCCCCAGGGGCGTCTAGTTTTATTATTATATTGACTAATCGTTACACTTCATTATTACTCCTAGAATGCCTGAGAAAAACTAGCCGAGTCATTAAGCTTTCTATATTTGTTTTTACCACTTGACGGGTCTAAATCCGGCAGTCTTGCTGCTGCCTCACCTGAATTCAAAACTTGCCTAAGTTTTATATATGGAGGGCAGTTTTACTACAAAAGACAAAACAAGCAAACCCAGCCGTAAACTTAAAAATAAACTTCACTACATCAACCAAACATTTGAGTCTGGATCATTACTGCGTCAACCCTCAAAATAGTTATACATGCCATCTCGCCTCCCAGGCATAAAACATAAATTATTGCGACTACAGGCAACTAAAAACACCCAGCTTTGCGTAAATATTCCATTTCAAGCCACCCAGGCACATTAATTAGCGATAAAACCCCACAGGCAACTAAACCTCTCCGTTAAGAGTCTCTGTTTCAGCCCCTCAGGCAACAACATAGGGCACACCCATCGGCCACATTTATTAGCAATAAAACCTCACAGGCAACTAAACGATCTTCCCGTTAGAAACTCCATTTTGCCTCTCAGGCAACTGGATATTTTATTTCAAGCCACACCAGGCACATTTATACGTGATGAAACCACACGGCAAGTAAAAACCTCTCCGTTAGAAAACTCTGCTTTAGTCCCTCAGGCAAGCACATATCTCATCTCAAGCCCCGTCAGGCAAGTACGCACAAGATGCACACAGACCAATTCTACTCACCATTGAGACTAACAACTTTTCGAGCGTTGAAATATGAACAATCGCATGCTTAGTTCATATCACCCATAAAACGAAATAATTTCTTCTAGAACTCCCGTCCCGTTCTCTTGCTGAGCGGCCTCCTGCTGAGGCTGTTCTTGTGGTGCTGGAACATCTTAACCGCATTAATTATCTCTGCTACTACCGCCGGGTCTGGCTTCCGAGGTTCTTGGTTTTCCATGAAGCTATGGCACGATGAAGACGGCGATGGATAACAATGACGCGACAACGTCTCTGACAACGAGTGGAGCAAGTGTCGGGGAATGAATAACATCCCTTTATATATCCTATTATCAATCCCCTGGGACMAAATTATCATATTCAAATGACTATGAATAGTCTCCTCCACAGACAACTCTTTTTTCCTCCTTTGGGCTTCCTTTGTAACGGTCATTATGGCCATTAGGGACTAGTGCCCCCATTGCTACTAAGGTACAGTTAAGAACTTAGGTGATACAATTCCTTGTGATTGGTGGCAGGAAGTTAAACAACTATGTGGTACGGCTAAAGGACATTGTCATGATCGATCACCTATACGTCACGCTGTAATGTAATGCCTGTAATGAGCCTATTTTGGCAGAAAATATCAACGATGCATTTTTTAGTGTGATGAAATAATATGTGCCTCTACCAGATAGTGCTTGCATCAATAGATACAATGATCAACCAATATCMGTTGATGAGCCTTCTGTTGCTACTAAACTTTGAGTCATGAGTAATTCTAGAGCAGGTAGCACTGACAATCTTCCCAATTGGGTGCTCAAAGAATTTGCTGACATCTTGGCTAACCAAGTTACTGACATCCTACTTCTTTTGCTGAATGTAAAGTTCCCAGAGTCTAGAAGTTTGCAGACATTTCACCACTTCCCAAGGCTTCTACTGTATGTGACTTTACTAAGGACCTAACAACCTATCTCACTTACATCCACACTGTCCAAGATTGCTGAATCGTTTCTCATTGAAAAGTCTCTTAAACCAACCATGTTATCATCCATTGATTTTAACAAGTATGGCTTCATTCCTGGCATGTCCACAACCCTTGCTCTTCTCCATGTTCCATTACTGGATCAACATCACCGACAAATGTGGATGGTCTTTGAGAACTGTGTTAGTCGATTTCCGTAAGGCCTTTGACCTTATGGACCATTAGACATTAGTCTTGACCTTAAATTGGATTGTTGAGAGATAACAACAAGACTGTAAAGCTTGGTAGTCATTGCTACTCTGACTGGCAAAATGTTCCTGCTGGAGTCCCTCAGGGGACCCGTTTTGGTCCCTGGCTATTCTTGGCCATGATCAATGATCTGAAGACAACAAATACTTCTACACTCATCTGGAAGTATGCCGATGACATGTTTCTGAAGCATTTCCAAGTGTGAAAGTACTTGGTTTAACGATTCAAAACAATATCAAAATGGAACACCCACTTTGATAAAATAACACTACATGTAAGGCTACCAAGCATTTATACCTTCTACAACAACTCAAGCGAGCTGGAATAAACCAACCAGACTCTGTGCAGTTCTATTGTTTTATTGACTTAGGAACCGGTCATTATTTGATTCCGAGGGGGGTTATAGGGGGATCGTGAATGTTTAAGAGTCATTGTCCGAGAAAACCGGACAGGGTCAAAAGATGGGGTCAGCCGATTGAATTGAAACTTATACCAGTTAATTGCCTCCGGATAAAAATAAGAATGGCCGAATATGAGCTTCAATGGACTTTTGGTTATCGAGATCACCCCCCCCCCCCCGGTTTGGCCCAAAACTGCCCAAAATCGCTTGATATTTGTGTGTACTTTGAAGGACTGTAAAAGAAAAACCATTAAAGGGACGATATTAATTCAACTTGCAAATATATTTTTTCAGGTTTGAAGCGATTATCCAATGAGAAAATCAACCAATTTGAGAAAGTTCTTTTCCCTGGTGAATTGTTYACTTATTGCGTGACGCAGTAATTTATGATCAATCGCGATGATAAGCAAAAAAGTGTTTTTCTCAAAAGTGCGGCAGTTTATTTAATACGATATTTTTCCATATCCGACTACTACAGAGGTTGTTCTAACATCC